CCAAAGTATTTTGAGCATTTCAGATCTTTTAGGTTGGGTTGATGAAGAATTGCACAAAGGGATAAGTTTTGCATATGAAGGAGCTGCATTGGTTTAGTTAAAAAACAAAGCTGCAGTGTGTTTCTACTTTGCCAACATCTGCTCTTTTACTTTGAACACATAATTTGCATCCTTCCTGTGGTATATTCTTTTTTTCCGCTTTGTATCCAACAGCCTCAATCCCAAAACATTAGGGTGTTGTAGAGTCCAGAGATTTGCAAGTCATTGGATTCATTTTTATTTACATTTTACACAACAACCCAACCTTTACAGAGTTGAGGCTGTAATTTTTGCAAACATAACCTCAATTTAAAGTCTGGGTTTCTGAGAATAATAGTAACTGTTTGGTTTGATTAGCATTGTTTCTTTGTGATCCACAAAGCAGGAAACATAAATTGGATTTATAGCAAAACTAAATCAAAAGTGCCTTTTGACCTTGAGGTCAGAAAATTGCAAATAAGAATCAAATTTGAAATACAGTATCTGACTTTAACTCACTTCAGAAGGGGATTAATACAGGGTCTCATAGATTGCAAATTAACCCAGAGGTCAGGAAAGCAGAGTTCAATTCAATGTGATTCAACATTTTGATTCTCTGATTGCTACTTAATGCATGAGTCGCTGCACCGAGTCTGGGTCTGTTTTGCAGTCGTATGGATAGTTCCATCTTAACCGTGTTTTGTTTGTTTGTGTGAGACCGTATGGAGCAATAATCCATCATCCCTGTTCTCAGACAATTACACAACTTGTTCTATCTATAGACTGTAGTTGTCACATCATTGACTTACACTAATGGATCTCATTTGGATCCATGCAAGGCAATTAAAATGGATATTATTCATACGCGATGGGGTTTTAAGTGTGTTTCTCATTTGCTCTTCAGCTTAAACTCTTGTAAATTGGCTCATTTGTTTTGGCAAAACCCTTCATATTTTTTAAATCAAGAGTAGGATGGTTAATCCAGGCTCAGATGGATCAGTAGATGTGTTTTTTCTTGATGAATGAAACCTCAAAAATAAATCATCTCCATAGATTGTGTTCATTTCAAGGCTAAAAGGAAAAATTGGGATAAATTTACAAAAGCTACAAGAGAACAGCGTAAATCTAGAAAAAATAAATGTTTATTTGTTGTTGTTTTTGTTTTTTTGGGGGGTTTTTTTGTTTTTGTTTTTAATTCACTGCCAAGGCAAGGCAGATAAGAAGCAGTTGTCTCGTATGTGCAAAGGCTGGAAAACTGCCAAATGTTTTATCATGGAAGTTAAAACTAGAACCACTAGCAAGTGTTCCTTTTTAATTACTATTGTTTTTTTTTCTTTTAAAGAGTACTGTATTAATACAGTGTGTCTAAATTAGATGTGAATACCAAATGATGACTTTAGCCTGAAGATAATTTGGAAGAGGCAGCGGTCCGGTCAGGAGGTCATCTCTCAGTCATAGGACTGTGGATTTGATCCCCTGTAAAGCAACAAAGCGACACTGAAATGCTCCAGGTACGCTTATATAAACACCTGTATAAAAGTGCTGCATATAGTGTGTAATATACAGAATGTAAAGTGCTCTGCAGAACCTTGAGAGGACAAAAAAGGCTATATTAAAATGTGAACTGTTTACTATTCACTTTAGTGCGAAGAAAACAAATTATTGTATGTAAATTGCAACTAAACATGAAAATCAACATTAATGATTGGTGTGTTTATTTGAATTTTAGCCTTTCATCACTGACTTTTACTTCAAACCAAGTAATTTAATATTAACCTTGCTACAATCAAATTTCTTTAATCAGCTAAGCCATTCATCTGTAACTAATTACCACATTCAAAAATGTCCCTATTTGAGTAAAAAAATATAATTATGTTATAATTCAATAACATTATTGAATATTAGTTGTGGGATAAAGACTAAATAAATTTTATTGAGAAAACACTTGGGAGGTCTTAACAAACTAATTGAAGTGTGGAAAACACACTTCTGTTCAGTGTGGAGTTTTAGTAGAAGAAGCTCAGGAAACAGTATAATTTACTAAGAACATGAATGACTTCCACTGGATTCACATATTTGTGATCAAGTTGGTTGGTTTTACTCAATATTTGCAAGATTAGCATTACACTGTCAGGCAGTGAGTAGTTTTGACCTATAAAAGCAAAAAACAAGATGATTTTTATATTATTTAAATGTGAGTGAAAGTCTGGAGTAAAGTAAAATTTTAAAAGTTTTCAAAGAACTTTACTGCAACATGAACTGACTGTTTATCATTTGTCTGAAAAAGTGGCTGTGTAGTTGAGACGCTCAGCAGGCAGGACTGAAGATCAGCATGGAGGCACCAATCACAGCTCCACAGAAGCAGGTTCTGAGCACAAATGCTAAAATGACTCAGGTCTACCACTCTGGAGGGGGTCCCAGGTGGCGGCTTTGCAAACATACCCCCCAGGACAGAAGAGTTTGAAATATCAGGGTGTAATCATAGGGTCCAACAAATCAGGACAATAAAAAATCATCACCAGAATTAAAATTTAACCAAATAAACCCTCAGATGAGCAATGACGTTACACTGTACCATAATTTATTCAATAAAAACTAAGTCTAAAGGAGGAAACAATGTGTGAAAATGAATTCAGCTTTTACTGATTCCATAAAAGAATAACTTAATAAGCAGCAGCCAGGTGCTTAATGCTCAATAAATATGAGTTCTTCTGGAAAAGCAGAAGTTTCTGCTGGTTTGATGTAGCGTTTATGTGTGTAAGTGTGTGAAAATACCAAAAAGTGAAGGCATCGTGGTCTTAGAGAAGCATCTGCGAAGGGTTACAGCGCCTTTTACAAGCAATTTGGACTCCATCATTTTAAGTGAGAGAATATTTGAAAGTGGAAAACATTTAAGACAGTTTCCAATTTTCCCAGGAGTGTACATAAAGGCAGGTTCACCCCAAGGTCAACTGTGCAATGTGCAGAGTAACTGCAGGAAACACAAGAGCTCCATCTCAGACTCTGCAGGCCTCAGGTAACAAGTTGAAGGCTATGGTTCAGGGTCATTTAGTTAGAAAAAGACTGAACAAGTTTAGCTAGTTTAGAAAGGTTGACACGAGGAAGCTTCTTCTCTCTGACAACAACTTGGCAGCTTCTCTTAGGTTTGCAAAGTAGCATCTGAAAAACACTAAAGATCTAGCATTCCTTGAAGGTATATGTACCATCCACCGCCTTCCAGGCCAGAGTTATTGACTCATGTTAAAAAATGATGGCACTGTAGCCATTTTATCTCAACCAAAAAACATAACATGTACGCTCATCATGAGATGTCCCCCTTAGAGTATAGGGGATCAGTCTTGCCTACTAACTCACTGAGTTTGAGGTCTGAGTTTTGGCGATTTGTGGGGGGTTTTTTTTAGATAAATTGCATTGGTAGCCTTCTTGAATTATAATATGCTTAATTGTAAATGTGTATCTGATGAAAACTTTCTGTGAGCTTCATTAAAGTTCCCATGACATCACATTTTTGTAATAAAAATAAGTGCATTTTTTAGAAATTAATAAACTGCGAAAGAAATTTCACGCCAGAGATAAACAGTTGCTGAGATTTTTGCATGTGAAGTAACAGGAAGTGACGTCAAAGGAGAATGTCTGCATGTGCACAGAGCACTGCTGCAATGTCTAACAACATAGACTGAAGTTACTATCAGAGAGGGACGAAAAAGAGTCCAAGTTAAATTAATATTGTTTCAACAAAGTTCTTAAAAAATCCCCCTTTGATGTCACTTCCTGTTTCATTTTTGGCTGAGCCAAATTCAAACGAAAACCTGCCAAATGTGCAATTAAATGAGTAAAATTGTTTGTATTATGCCACGTTTTTTTTTTAAATATAAAGATGTTTTCTTTGACTTTCTGTATGTAAAGAATGCATGTCAAAGGCACTTTAAAATTTGTTCAGTGGTTCACCAGATGCACATGAACATGTACGGGAAATATATTCATCTACCTTCACCTCTCAGCAGTGGGTGGTAAAAAGGCTGGACTTCGGGACAATGTTCTTTGGACAGGAGGACATTTGGTCCAAATGCACAGCATCACATTCAGTTGACTTGCAGAGAATCATCGCAGTGCTCTGCCACCCCACATTTTAAATAGCGGAAAAGTGGGAAATGACAGCTTTGTTAAAAATTTGTACATGCAGTTTTTTTTACTGTGGGTGACAAATTGCAGTTGTTTAGACAGGTCAAAGAGAAAATGAGGTTTAAAGCAGCTTCATCAGTACATTTACACAAAGCTGAGCTGGTTCTGGGCCAGAGGTTCTTCCTCAGTTATCAAAAATCAGTGCTGACAAAGAGGTTCTGGCACTCTCAATAAGCTCCACCCACAACAGAGAAGCAGGAGCATAAAACAAAGTTTGCGTGGCAAAAATACGAATAATACGACCTTGGAGGGTTTGTGTTTATGGAGCAACCTGATTGTTCTGCTTGGCTGCATTTCAGTGGTAATGGTACAGCCTCATTGAAAAGTAACTCAATTATTCTTGAGAGCCCTGATCATTTTTTGAGCTCCCAGGATCATCATCAGCTTACAGTAGCTGGTGAATTTGACATCAAAACAGGGAGGGGCAGCTCCTCAGTGAGGCAGGCTGGAGGAGGAGTAATTGAATTGTTTGTTGTTTGTTGCCGTTATTCTCCTCACCAACTGGGGTGCAGTAAAAGGAGAGCAACTTTATTGCGGTGAAGGATAGTGTTCATTTTGTTCATTTCTTTTCACTTCTTCTGTAAATAGCTCGCCGTGTTTTCTTCGACCCGCTCCACCTCAGCACTGAGACAGTCCCTCTCTGTCTCACACACTCAGCCCTGTCTCTTTTGGTTTCCCAGCACTTCGGTTATTATTTGTTACATTATCCTGCAGTAACTTTCACTGTCAGCCTCTTGCTTTTGTGATTTTTTCCCCTCTCTCTCTCTCTAATCCCCCTGCCCCTCTTTGTTTCACTTCAGACGGAGCAATTTGTCCACACACTTAAGGATGAATTGGTCAAGAGTGCACTGCTGGCGCTGCACGCTGCACGGCCGGGCTACGTCTCCAAGAGCCAGAAGCAGACGCCGTTGCAAAGCCATCATCATCATCATCAGGGCCAAACTGGCCAGAGCGGTGATCAGAATCAGAGCCCGGTCCAGGGACTTCCAGGCCACAGTCCAGCCTCACCGGTCACCGAGAGCCCAGTGGTGTGTAATAATGTGGAGGCATCAGAGGTGGAAACTGGGTCACTGAAGCACCAAGACTCAATACCACATCATAAGGAGTACGATGAGGAGGAATGGGTAAATCTGGACTCTTTTGTTCATTTCTTTCAGATTTCTCTCTTTTTTTTTACACTTCAACTTTTCCTTTTTATTTTCTTTGCTTGTTGTAGTAAGACATTTTTGAAATTTTGGGCAACTATTTTGACGATTCTTTAGATTATTTAGGGCAGGTGTGTCAAATTCAAGGCCCCCAAGGCTCATTCCTGTTCTACACTGAAGCACATTTTGTGAAAATAAAAGCTGCTATTTCAAAGAAGTTGATTTGGATGCAAAACTAAATTGCACACTGGAAATTATTTTATCAGTTTCGATTCATTTATTTAAAGTGGTTTAGATATTACACTGTAGCTAACTTACTGCAGACACTTCTTGCAGGCATCTCGCTGATCCTTAGTCGATCTGAGGTTTTCTTTTGAGTGTGTGTGATTGTAAGTGAAGACAGCATCTGCCACACTGTAGAACCATAAAGCCATTTCTTTACCTTTTAAACGGGTTCAGGCTTTATTTTTAAACCTGGAAAATGCCAAAACAAACACGAGCCCTGAACACATCCACACAGAAATAAAGCATGTCTGCATCCGTGAACAGCTGGCGCTCAGGAGAAGAAATGGGAATGCTTTGAGCGTAATCCGTGCAGCAGCTTTCCTTTGTTTTAAAGACTCGGCAGAAAACTGACTTCATGCTCTGTTTCTTCTTCTTTTTTTTTAAATCGCTCTGTTTTATTGTGTCTATATATATAT